TGCTGCTGCTGCTCCTACTACTACTACTACTACTACTACTACTACTACTACTACTACTACTACTACTACTACTACTACTACGACGACGACGGGCGTTGCATAGGACCCCGTTCACGGCGAGCAGCTGAGCCAACCCTAAGGCCGAAAACTCGGAAACCCATCATCGTAATAGCTGTAGTAGCAGCATTTTAGGGTTTAGGGTTTAGGGTTTAGGGTTTAGGCTCTATGGGCTCCAGGAGACGCACATGAAAAACTGGCCACTGCGGGCCTCCTCGAACGTGACGCAGCTCTTCTCCACGATCTCTTCCATGCCAGATTGCAGAGCCTCTAGACCCAAGAGTAGCCTAGGAATACAATGGGTTTAGGGTTTAGGGTTTAGGGTTTGGGGTTTAGGGTTTAGGGCTTAGGGTTTAGGGCTTAGGGCTTTAGGGTTTACGGTTTAGGCGGTATAGGATTTAGGGGTTAGGGGTTAAGGTTTAGGGTTTAGGGTTTAGGGTTTAGGGTTTAGGGTTTAGGATTTAGGGTTTAGGGTTTAGGGTTTAGGGTTGAGGGTTGAGGGTTTAGGGTTTGGGGCGACCCAAGAGTAGCAACAAAAGGGGTGCCCTTTCTGGGTCCTTAGCCTTGCTAGGGGTTTAGGGTTTAGGGTTTAGGGCTTAGGGTTTAGGGTTTAGGGTTTAGGGTTTAGGGTTTAGGGTTAGAACTTGGCCGATAGGCCTAGGCCCCACACCCAAACCTGCTGAAACCCTGAACATGTTTGAAGCTTTAGGGTTCCAAGGTTTAGGTCTAGTAACACTTTAGGACTTTAACAATTCAGAAGTCCAAGGGTTGTAGGCTAGAGGGTTTAGAGATCGGCCTAGTTGTCCAGTAACCTGGGGGGAATTAAAGGTTAAGCTTCGGGATTATAAGGGGATTACACTACCCCAAAAAGGTTAAAGGTTACCTACTCTACTACTAGGTCGGGTGTCGAGTTCAGGGTTTAGGTTTGAGGCTTCTCCGTCCGAAGTCCGAAGCCGATGTCGTGCCAACCTTGAAACCTCCAAAAGACCCAAACCCTGAACGCCAAACCCCAAACCCAAACCCTAAACCCCCAAACCCTAAACCCCCAAACCCTAAACCCTAAACCCTAAACCCTAAACCCTAAACCCCAAACCCTAAACCCTAAACCCTGCGCGGTCAAGGAGCGCGACGCGCGTTCAGCCCCATGTTCGGGTCTATGGCATACCTCGGCTCCCGAGAAGCCGAGGCTCCCGGCTTCCATTGTTTGGGGTTTAGGGCTTGGGGTTTAGGGTTTAGGGTAAAAGGATTTGGGGGGGTGAGTTTTTAGGGTTTAGGGTTTAGGGTTAGGGTTTAGGGTTTAGGGTTTAGGGTTTAGGGCTTAGGGTTTAGGGTTTAGGGTTTAGGGTTTAGGGTTTAGGGTTTAGGGTTTAGGGTTTAGGGTTTAGGGTTTAGGGTTTAGGGTTTAAGGATTTGGGGTTGAGGGGTGTGGCTGCGAAGACGAAAGCCGCTCCCCGCAGGGAGGCCCACACGCAACCCACTGCCCTGCTGTTGGGACACGCCCATGGGCGAAAGAAACCCCGAAGCCCAGGCCCGAAACTCCCCCCCCCCCCCCCCTAAACCCTAAACCCCCAAACCCTAAACCCTAAACCCTTAGGCCCTAAACCCGAGGCCCTAAACCCGAAGAAGGACCTGTTCCACACCTCCTGATGACAGCTCCCCCCATCAAATGCATCTTCTTCTGCAACTCGTTCAAGGGTTCAGGTGTGTCGAGCGTGCCACATCCTCAAACTGCAAAATCTGTCAAACCCTATCACCTAGACCCCAAACCCTAGGCCCTAAACCTTAAACCCTAAACCCTAAACCCTTAACTGAATCATCTCGATCGTCTGTGGGTACCTTCACATTTTCAGTCGGGCAATTCTTGGAATCCCACCAACTTAGGAGTTAGGGGTGCTTCTAACCCGACTTATAACCTGCGTACTACTGTGGAGGTGCCTTCGAATGACCGAGGATTTGTGCTGTTTTTGGCAGGCCTAAATGCAGCGCCTGAACCTGCAGCCTCTTTTTGGTGTTTGCTTGTACAGAAAGTCGTTGCTATGGACGGGGAGGTCGGTGTAGCAGCACATGGAGCTCCAAATGGAGCGCCAGTAGCTTTGCCACAGGCGGCGTGTTGCACGTGACAAGAGACGCGTGTGTTGTGCGCGCTGCAGTTCCCTAAGGGTCCATGTACCTGATTATTATATACTTGGGCCTTAAAGTACTTCCTATATAGGGACTTTGGGACCCAAGTATATAATAATGAGGTACATGGACCCTTAGGGGTTATTCTTTTGGGTGAGGCTGCAGCCTCAGAATCTTGGGTCTGGTGGGAAGCAAAGACGCCGAAGAGGCCGCGCTGCAGCCAAGGATTTGTTGTTCGCTGTTTCTGCCTGTCCGCAGAAGCTTGACTGAAGGTAACCTGTCTGTGTCGGCGCAAAAGGAGTCGTGGGAACTGATAGCTGGAGGCTCAAGATGTGCACACGTCGGTCTACATTCGGACTTGGGCAATCTTGCCAATGCAATCTTGCTCGATTCGAAGGTCCTGAAAGTAGATGCCTGAAACTAGCCGAAAACCCGAGGCCCTATGTGGTGACCTCCACAGTAAGTTCCCTGAGACCCCCAACCCTAACCCCTAAACCCAACCCAAAACCCAAAACCCTGAACCCAAACCCTAAACCTTAAACCCTAACCCCTAAACCCTAAACCCTGAACCCAAAGCCCTGTACAGCTGAGGGCAAAACTTCATCGTCTTGTCCGGCCAAGGGTGGCCTGCAGCGGCAAACGGCATCCCCCTGTGCTACATAGGCCCTAAGGCCCTATTTGCACAGGGTTTAGGGTTTTGGGTTTTGGGTTTTGGGTTCAGGGTTTAGGGTTTAGGGTTTAGCGAAACTTCTCTGGGTTGTATAGGGTTTTAGGGCCGAGAGAACTTTAAATTAGTTCCCTGTCGCCGTGTCGGGCCTATGCAATGGAACCACGGCGGGGCCGAATACTTAGCTGCACTCAGAAGGGTAGCTACAAATTAAATTTTTAGCTGTCATATTAGAGAACCGGTAAACCCAACAAGGCTAAAGATCTAAAGTTAAAGTAAAGCACCACGAAGAATACTGCGGAGACACGTATTTTCCTGTACCACGCAATTTTGGGGCCGCGTAACGGAGAGAGTTCATGGGAGTAGGTACCTGCGGAAACTTAGGGAAGCTTAGGGAGCCTTAGGGAGTAGTGGGGAGTCTTAGGGAACCTTGGGTTACATACCCCCCTTGAACCCCCTCCCTTAAGAACCCGATAAGCAAACAATTCCTGGCATCCCCATCAGCCGTCATTTTGTACACCCTAAACCCTGCATGAGGCTTAAACATAGTGGCCGACTTTACATATCCCTCGACCCTCAGTAAAGCTTCATCATGACCCCGTAAACAACAAACCTGAGTCAGCCTCTGTTCGAAATAGCCTATAAGTATAGCTCGAAAAGAAACTACTGAGATGCCATTGCCACGCTTGCTTTGAGGACCCTAAACCCTCAACCCTAAACCCCAAAACCAAAACCCAAAACCCTAAACGTTCTTTGCTCGTCACGTGGGGCTTTCGGGTTTACTGGGTTGGCCTTTAAACCCTCTGAAAAATGTGTACATCTAGGGTCCCTTTTCAACGGGTTTGAGGGCTGCCTAGAGTAACCTTGGTCCTAAAGACAGAAGCATACTTCCCAAGAATTAAGGTGGATTTCCCTAAAAACCCTAAACCCCACCAAAACCCTAAAACCCTAAAACCCTGAAACCCTGAAACCCTAAAACCCTAAAACCCTAAAACCCTCAAACCCTAAAACCCTAACACCCTAAAACCCTAAAACCCTAAAAGCTTAAAACCCTAAAAGCTTAAAACCCTAAAACCCTAAAACCCTAAAATCCTAAAACCCTAAACCACAAAGGTCTTCGCCTTTAGTTGAGGGCTTCCCTGTTCCCAAACCCTAAACCCTAAACCCTAAACCCTAAACCCTAAACCCCAAACCCCAAACCCTAAACCCTAAACCCGTGGCTTCGGTTGAGGGCTCCCACCCTCAGCCAGAGGTCGACCCGCCTCCCGCCACGCGGGGGCCCATCCATTCCTGCAGCCGGCGCTCCTGTCGAGCTTGCAAAAGCGTCGGGTGAACCCTAAACCCTAAACCCTAAACCCTGAACCCTAAACCCGGGCCCTAAACCCTAAACCCTTAACCTTAAGTGGCGCCCCTGAATATCTGAAAGCTTGGCGGATGAACTTTAAAGCCTGCAAGGTACTGGGGTGCAAGGGTTTAGGGGTTTCGGGTTTCGGGGTTTAAGGCTTAAGGCTTTAGGGGTTTAGGGTTTGGGGTTTAGGGTTAAGGGTGTGGAGGTTTAGGGCTTCAGGGGGTTTTGGGTTGGGGTTAGGGTTCTTGTGGCACCTTTAGCTTTGCTTCAGGGTGGCTCTCCTCCACTCTCTTTTCTGAGGGATCGGCGGGGGGGGGGGGGGGGGGGGGGTAAGAATTAAGTTTGTATGGGCTATTCGGGTTCTGTTAAAAGAAATGTAAATTATTCGCATGTTCCGGCATGGCAAGCCCATGGCCACTTATTTCGAAGACCTTGCTATGGCCTGTGGTATCGTATCTTCCTTAAAATGAAGGTACCAAACATGGTCCACAGATCAACGTGCCCCCCACATGGGGTTTAGGGTTTAGGGTTTAGGGTTTAGGGTTTAGGGTTTAGGGTTTAGGGTTTAGGGTTTAGGGTTTAGGGTTTAGGGTTTAGGGTTTAGGGTTTAGGGTTTAGTCGACCTGCCGTCCTCGCGCTCGTCGGCGAAGAAATAGCTGTCAGTCACAGCTACCCCCAGAACCATCGACACCAGCGTGCCTCAGGACAGCCATGGGCAGGCCCTCGTCGGCATTCACTCCTATACTCAAAAACCTATACCTGGAACTCCAGACTCAAAACCCGGAACCGCAACCCAAAATCAAAACCCTAAACACGAAACGCAAAAACTAGACCTTGAACCCTAAACCCTAAACCCTAAACCCTAAACCCTAAACCCTAAACCCTAAACCCTAAACCCTAAACCCTAAACCCTAAACCCTAAACCCTAAACCCAAAACAGAAAACCAAAACAAACAACCTAAACCCTAAACCCTAAAGACCTTGGATCCTAAACCCCACACCTGCCGGACCCGCTTCCACCGAGCGGCGGCGTTCCTCGAGCTCCATGCCGGCGGAGGGCTCCTAGATTGCGCTTGCCCTAAACCCTAAACTCCAACCCTTAAACCCTAAACCCTAAACCTGAAACCCTAAACCCTAAGCCTTAAACCCTAAGCCTTAAACCCTAAGCCCTAAACCTTAAACCCTAAACCCTAAACCCTTCTCCAAACTCCAAACCCTCAGCCCTAATCCCTGACCCCTGAAACCCTTCACTGCATCACTAAACCCTGAAACCGGATCAGCCCCTTGTCTTAGTACTAGCCCAGGAACCAAATTACAACAAGGGCACCTCTTTTCTGGGTTGGTTGCTTTACAAGGGAACGAAGAAACAAGAAAAGGAAGAATAAGGGTACTACTGGGCTACCAAACCATGAAACCGAATCAGCCCCTTAATCTTGTGTCCTCGTGGATCCAGGCGCTGACGTCGTAGCAGCCGGGTGCTGGGTTGTACTCGCGAAGAGCTTTCTCTTATACCCTAAGCCCTAAGCCTTAAGCCCTAAGCCCGAAACCCCAAACCCTAAACCCTAAACCCTAAACCTTCAGACGTAGGCTTCAGGTGCTTAAAGTCAGGAGCGAAAGGGCTGTCTGACACAGCATGCCTATTACCATGAAGGCACCCACTTGAACAAACCCACCCGAAGCTGCAAACCAAGACCATGAAGCCCTTGGTTAAGCTCTTTTTCCGGGTTTAGGGTTGAGTTGCTTGGAGTTTCCCTAAATCCCTAAACCCCAAACCCCAAAACATTCTAAGGGTTCACAGTGTAAGTTTAAGGATTAGATTTTTGGGTTGAGGGTTAGGGTTTAGGGTTTAGGGATAGACTGCGTAGAACATGGGCCAACGCACAGAGTAGGGGGTTTGGTGCCGGTAGACGCTTGTGGGCATTCATCTTCAGAGGCTTGGTAGCCCGGGACCGGGAACCATATTCTCATAAGGGCACCCTTGTTTGGGTACCCTAAACCCCAAACCCCAAACCCTAAGCCCTAAACCCTAAACCCTAAACCCTAAACCCTAAACCCTAAACCCTAAACTACTGTATAAGGGAAGCTTGACCCCACAAAAAGGGAAAGGGTACCACTGGGCTACCAAGTCAGAAGACACGGAGCTAGGAATTTGGCTGTCCTCCATGGCATCCATTAGCTCTCCCCACTGTGCTTCGCCTAGGCGCTGCGCAGCCGAGCCGGTTTAGGGTCTAGGGTCTAGGGTTTAGGGTTTAGGGTTTAGGGTTTAGGGTTTAGGGTTTAGGGTTTAGGGTTTAGGGTCTAGGGTTTAGGGTTTAGGGTTTATATGTCGCGGGGACTCCAATGTCAGAAAGACGCGCCATGCACCTCACCCTCTTGCGTAGTTCATGCGGCTGTCGTGTTCGGATTTTGTCGACTTACCTACGGCTTGATTGCACACGATACGTGCCTTCCGCCAACATCCTTGCAGTGATCTATACTCGTTACTGTTGCTTCGGGGTCGCAAAAAAGGGATGCTAGTGGAGCAAGCGTTGCCTCAAGTTGCCGTTAACCCGCGCCAGCGTCAACATCCCAATCCCAGGGCCCCCGCATGTACGGGCTTAGGGCACTTTCGGGTCAGCTAGAATTTAGTTGAGTTTAGAGTGCCCAGGAAAAAGGGTACCCCTTTTGGCTTGAAGGGGCTTATGGGAATAAGGGCCTTACTTTGGACCCGAGTAATCGTTCAGGCTCCTGCATTATACGCTTCGGGCTTCTCGACCTCGGTGCTGTGGTGCACCTCAAACACTCCTCGACTCTCCTGGACCCCCCTGCACTCGACACCCGAAGTCCCCAACATTTCCAGGCCATGAAAGACCCTCAGTCGCCCCTTAGATACAAGAAACTAGCCCTAAGCCCTAAGCCCTAAGCCCTGAGCCCTGAGCCCTGAGCCCTGAGCCCTGAGCCCTGAGCCCTGAGCCCTGAGCCCTGAGCCCCAACCTCGAGCCCTAGAGCCCTAAGCCCTAAGCCCTAAGCCAATAAGCCCTAGAGCCCTAGAGCCCTAAGCCCTAAACCCTAAGCCCCCCTGAACTCTCGGGACCACACCTTGGATCGGCTCCGTTTCCGCGCGGGTCACCTCGGTAGCATCAGGCATCTAAAAACTTCCCTTCCCGAAATGCCTCAGATTCTATAGGGTTCAGAGTAGGCCCAAACCCTAATCCCTCAACCCCCATGCCCCACCCCCCTTACCCCCCACCCCCCTTACCCCGGCTTGGCCCAAATGCTATTTGCACCTCCTTTCCTGTGGAAGCTTTGTCATGACAAGCGATCATCCTCAAAGTGGGTTATTCGTTTCGGAAGGCCCTACACGCAAAACACCCTTACTAACCCCAAACCCTGAACCCCAGACCTTAAACCCTAAACCCCAGACCCTAAACCCTAAACCCTGAACCCCAAGCCCTAGACGCCCCAAACCCCAAAAACTAAACCCCAAACCCTAAACCCCAAACCCTAAACCCCAAACCCCAAACCCCAAGGGCCAGTTCGACCACGCGGCTCTCTGTGCAGCGCTCAGCGCCCTCCGAAGCTCCTAGTCGGCAATGAGGGGGCTTAGGGTTTAGGGTTTAGGGTTTGGGGTTTAGGGCTTAGGGCTTAGGGTGTAGGGTTTAGGGTTTAGGTTTCGTTTAGCTTGGGGTCTGGGGCGGGGTAGGGGGGGAGGGGGCAGTTTGGGAGGTTGTGGCATGATTTAAGGGTCCAGGGTTTAGGGTGTTGGGTTCAGAGTTTAGGTTTCACGGTTTCGGGCTAAACCCTAAGTTTTGTTCCCCCGAGCCTAACCTCGGATTGAGAGTTTAGGGTTTTTAGGGCTTGGGACAGCTTAGGATCCAAGTCTAATCCGAGCCTAGCCCGCTGACCGGTTGAATGACCAAGCTCAAAAGCCTTCGAATGAAGCCTAAACCCTAAACCCTAAACCCTAAACCCTAAACCCTAGGCCCTAGGCCCTAAACCCTAAACCCTAAACCCTAAACCCTAAACCCTAAACCCTAAACCCTAAACCCTAAACCCTAAACCCTAAACCCTAAACCCTAAACTCCCTCCCAAAGCCCTTCCCCTGACTGGCACCTCACAGTCGGAACCGCAGCTGGTGGTCTTCTGGCCATCCCCAGCAGAGCACTGCCTCAGAAGTTTAGGGTTTAGGGTTTAGGGTTTCGGGTTTAGGGTTTAGGGTTTAGGGTTTAGGGTTTGGGGTTTAGGGTTTAGGGTTTGGGGTTTGGGGTTTGGGGTTTGGGGTTTGGGGATTGGGGTTTGGGGTTTGGGGTTTGGGGTTTGGGGTTTGGGGTTTGGGGTTTGGGGTTTGGGGTTTGGGGTTTGGTGTTTGGGCTTTAGGGTTTAGGGTTTAGTTTTGGACGCCCTTGTCCCGGGCTCTTGTTAAGGAACCAAAAACCAAAACCCGAAACTAAGGTACAAGAGTAAGGCCCCCTCAGTTGCTTACTATGTTATGGTAGCTTGATTGATGTTTCCTAAACCCAGCGTCAGGGACTTCCGTACGGCAGGGGCTTTCCTGATTTAGGGTCTCCGGCCAGAAAGGGCTTCAGGCTTTCTAGGGTTCAGGTTTTAGCTCCAAAACAGTCCCCCAAACCCTCATGCATCAGCCCTCAACACTCAATATGGGGGACCCCTCATCAGAACCCTTTAGAGATGGTAAGGGACCATATTAAGGGACCATGTAACTACCCTAAACCCTAAACCCTAAACCCTAAACCCTAAACCCTAAACCCGAAACCCTAAACCCTAAACCCTAAACCCTAAACCCTAAACCCTAAACCCTAAACCCTAAACCCTAAACCCTAAACCCTAAACCCTAAACCCTAAACCCTAAACCCTAAACCCTAAACCCTAAACCCTAAACCCAAACAACCCACCCTACACCGAAGCCACGTTGCACGCTGATCTGCGCCGCCAGCTTGGACTCCTGCGACTTGGCCTTTTCTGAGCTTGCGTTGAGGGCGCGCGTCGGTCTGTAGTAGGGGTCTGGAGGTAGTTTCGGGTTTAGGGTTTAGGGTTTAGGGTTTAGGGTTTGGGCGCAGGGCTTGATTTAGGCTGGGCTGTCGCAAACAGCAAAAGCTTCACAAGTGGCGTCAGCCCTAAACCCTGAATCCTAAACGCTGAATCTGAACCCTAATCCCTACAAGGGGCTTCGAGGTTTCCCAAGAAAGTTTTCAGTCACAGGGATTTGTTTGGGGTTTACGCAGGTTCGAGGCCGTCTTTTGGGCAACCACTCAGGCTGAGCTGCAAGGCCAGCGACGCTCAGGGCGGGCAAACCCTAAACCCGTAAAAACCCTAAACCCTAAACCCCAAACCCTAATTGGGGTTTAGTGCTGGTCCCAACAGAACAGGCTCCCATACGGAGCCCACCGTGGGTGCTGCCGACCTGGGCTTAGGCGCCGCCCGCCTTGAGTTTGGGGTTTGGGGTTTGGGGTTTAGGGTTCAGGGTTCAGGGTTCAGGGTTCAGGGTTCAGGGTTCAGGGTTCAGGGTTCAGGTTCAGGGTTCAGGGTTCAGGGTTTAGGGTTTAGGGTTTAGGGTTTAGGGTTAGGGTTTAGGGTTTGGGGTTTAGGGTTTAGGGCTGAGGGGTTTAGGGGGTCTAATTTAAGGGTTCTGGGGTTTTGGTTTTAGGGTTGAAGGATTTTGGGGGTCTAATTTAGGGGTTCTGCGGCTTTGGGTTTAGGGTTGAAGGGTTTGGGGGGTCCAATTTAGGGTTCTGGGGTTTTGGGTTTTGGGTTGAAGGGTTGGGGGTCTAATTTAGGGGCTCTGGGCTTAGGGTTCAAGCACTTAGGGGGTGTAGGGTTTGGGGTTTCGAGGGTTTAGGGTTTACGGGTTAGATAGGGTCTTGATTATGGTATCTTCCGCATAGCTTGGGGTACCAATGTAACAAAAGGGCCCCTTCACGCTGATCAACCCCTCTAATTAGGTAAAACCCTAAACCCTACACCCTAAACCCTAAACCCTAAACCCCTAAACCCCTAAACCCTAAACCCTAAACCCTAAACCCCATGTTGGCCTTCTCGAGCACCACACTCCAGCTAGCAGAGGCCAGCACACAGCAGCATGCCAAGACAGCCTCAGGGTATACGGGGTTGGATATCAGATTCAGGGCTTCGGGTTGAGGATGTAGGGTTTAGGGTTTAGGGTTTAGGGTTTAGGCTTTAGGCTTTAGGCTTTAGGCTTTAGGCTTTAGGGTTCAGGGTTCAGGGTCAGGGTTCAGGGTTCAGGACTTAGGTGTAAAATTTCCTTTCTAGTATCCGAGAAGGACACCCAGATCATGCACGCTCGCCGATGTTATTTTGGAACCCTATATGATCTCACCTGTAACAGCAAAATATGTCTTACCTCACAGAGGGCTGAATGTAGGGTTGAGGATTTAAGATCCAGGGCAGTTTGTCCTCAAGCTAGTTTAGAGGTTGCAAGCTGTAGATATGTCCGTCGGCCAGCTAGAAATTAGACCTTTCAGGGTCTCTTGTAAAGAGAAGCCCAAGCCCACCAAAAACATGACAACTTGGCGGACTGTGTAGACGATTATGAAAACATTCAGGGGTTTAGGGGTTTAGGGGTTTAGGGGTTTAGGGGTTTAGGGGTTTAGGGGTTTAGGGGTTTAGGGGTTTAGGGTTTAGGGTTTAGGGTCTAGGGTTAGGCCCGGGTAGGGGGAGAGGAATTGAACCTCAACTTTTGCTGGCAGCGGCCAAGGCGCCGTGCGGTATCGCCACCGCATGGCGGTTGGGCGCATCGGAAATGGTTTCCGGGCTTCGAATAGGAGGGGTTTTGAGGAGAGTTGCCGTGCTAGTCTGAGGCAAGCAAGATGTCTGGGGACGTTAGTTTCTGGCCTCCTGCTTCATCCAACCCTTGCGCAGCCAGCTATACGATTTTGCCGTTTATACGACTTGGTGTCTAAGGTACGAGAAGAAGGAGTGCGCTGTCAAAGTGAGAAGGGCTTTGGGCGATGACGGCAAGACCACTAAACTGCAGCCTAGGATATAGACCCTAAACCCCTGAACCCATCACAATACCCCAAGCCCTGTCAGCACATTGCCGTCCCACGAACTACCAGTTTAACTGCGCGTTTGCGCTGAAGAGCCTAAATGCTCCAAGGTCTAGGGTTCAACAAACCGGCCCTTCCCTGAACGCTTAGGGTCAAGGGTTTAGAGTTCTGGCTTAGGGTTTGGGGTTTGGGGTTTGGGGTTTAGGGTTTAGGGTTTAGCGTTTAGGGTTTAGGGTTTAGGGTTTAGGGAAGGAGCCTTGCCAGTTCGCGATACCTGTTACATCCACGACACCCACAATCGGGACGAAAACACCCCAACACCAAAAACCGCAAAGCCTCAAGCCTAAACCCTAAACCCTAAAGCCTAAATCCTACACACGAAAATCCTAGCCGCCCGAAAAAGCACACTAGGGCCTGAAACCCGTACAAACCCTGAACGTGCTTCTCCACAAGCCCTTGGAAAAGATGTCAGGCTGAAACCGAAAGAATGTAAAGTTCTACTATTGGCTAAGTCCCCCCCCCCCCTCCCCCTCCCCTATAAACCTCTAAGCCCCCCTGACTTGCAGAAACCCTGAGACCCCAAAGCCCCCGAAACCCCAAAGCCCTAAACCCGAAAGCCCTAAACCCGAAAGCCCTAAACCCTAAACCCTAAACCCTAAACCCTAAACCCTAAACCCTAAACCCTAAACCCTAAACCCTAAACCCTGAACCCTGAACCCTGAACCCTGAACCCCAAATCCGATTCCCCTAAAACCCTAAACCCCGAAGCCCTAAAGTCCCAAAATCGTACACCCTGACGCCTCCCAAAGCCGGAGGCCTCTAACCTCTAGGGTTCAGGGTTCAGGGTTCAGGGTTTAGGGTTTAAGGTGTTTAGGGTTTAGGGTTTAGGGTTTAGGGTTTAGGGTTTAGGGTTTAGGGTTTAGGGTTTAGGGTTTAGGGTTTAGGGTTTAGGGGGTTTGGGGGTTTATAGGGCTTAGGGTTTATGTAGGGTGTAGAGTTCAGGGCTTAGGGCGCTTAGGGCGTTTAGGGTTTTAGGGTTTGTAGGCTTTCGGGTCCTTAGGGCTTTTAATAGGTTTAGGGCTTAGGGCTAAACCCTAAATCCGCTAAGCAACCTCACACCGTGCCAGGTGCAGGTTCCACTTGGTAGCCCAGCAACCATATTATAATAAGGGCACCTTGTTTGGGTTGGTTACTTTATAAGGGAAACCAGAGCAAACAAAACCAAAAAGGTAAAGGGCACCACTGGGCTACCGAGTGCAGGGTCCTTAAGGGAGGGGGTCAAGAGGCTTTGTAACCCAAGGTTGCCTAACACCACTACTCCCCACAAGGCTCCCTAAGCTCTTCTGAGGTTCCCTCGGCACCTACCCCCTAAACCCTAAACCCTAAACCCTACAGCCTAAACCCTAAGCCCTAGACCCTAGACCCTAGACCCTAGACCCTAGACCCTAGACCCTAAACCCTAAACCCTAAACCCTAAACCCTAGTTGGTGGACTTCGAGTCTTGGGAAGCCACTCTCAAGGCCTAAGCCTCAACTCCCAAACCGTGCAATATGATTATGATCTCTGCGGGCGTTCTATCAAACCAAAGAGGCAAAACAAAATTCCTAAGGGGGCAAAAAGGGTAGCTCTCTGAATAAGGGTCCCCTTGTGCCATACGTAGAGACAAGTAAGGGACGCTAATTTAAAGAACTGCCCGTAAACAGAATAGGATCCAAAAAACCTTAAACTCTAAACTCATAAGCCCATAAACCCCAAACCTCTAATCCCTAACCCCCAAACTCTAAACCTAAACCCGAAAACGGGAACCAAGAGCTCGTGCCTTTGGATCCACCAGTGGCCTGCCAAAGCTCGATGTGGGTAGTTCTTCGAATGTGGGTTTAGGGACTGGGGTTTAGGGTTTAGGGTGTAGGGTGTAGGGTTTAGTATTAGGGTTTTGGGTTTAGGGTTTAGGGTTTAGGGTTTAGGGGTAGCTAGAGGCAGACCAGAACGAGGTAGCTACTGCTTCGAAGGGGTACCCAGGGTGTGCAGCGGGCACACAAACTCTTGCGCCAGCATGCTTGCTGAGCTCCTCCTTCTCATCGATCTCAAATCCAGCATCGTCCGAGGCGTGGTGGAAGTCCTCCTCAATGGTTTCCTCTTCGGGACCGATTTGCCTTCAAGGCTGTCCAAGAAGTCGATGACAAGCAGCTGCTTTTTGAACGCCGTCCTTCACCCGGTCATGCTTCGCATCTGACGCTCTGAAATCTTGCTGAGGCCTTTGGCAGGCGTCGTCATGGTCATCCTACGTCCACTGCTTCACGTTGGCACTTCTTTCAACCGTCCTACACTGCCTGAATGGAGACAATCACGCCGTGATGCCGGCCTAGAAGAGCGAGCAGTTTCGAGAGAGCTCTGCGCATGCCCACGCTGCTCACCAGGGCAGGCAAGCTGTGTTGAGTGGCGTCACCCAGCCAGTTGACGTGGCCCGAGATGTATTGCGTCGCAGCAAGAAGCAGCATCACATGAAACCTAGAGCTTGTCACCCGCAAGATGTCGAAGAGTGACAGTGCTCATCGCTTCAAACAAGAATACTCTGGAAATCTCTGGAAACTACAACTCGCAACGGTGCTTGAACAGAACCTGGATACTGCTTGCGCGTAGCTTTGGTACCTTGCGTGCTGTCTCTGACACCTAGGCTGAAACACCTTCAAAGCTTTGATACCCTACAGTCAACTGCCCCAGAAAGCCTGGACACTGCTACACAGTACCTGAAACGAACACGACTACTCTCCAGGCTGTTTATGTCTCGGTGCCTTCACTACATGAACAAAAGGAGCACTTCTCAAAATGGGCCCCAATGGGCCCCAATGGGCCCGAATGGCCCCGAGGCCTTACGCCCCATCGCAACCATTGGCCCTACCAATTCCATTAATTACCCTAAAGCCTGGACCGCCATCCTGTTAAAAAACTAAGACTTAAGGTTTAGGATTCCGGATTTAGGGTTCAGAAGGGTAGCCGAGAGAGTCCACGGGCCTCCAAGGAGGTCCGTGGGCGGTGGGGTCTCAAGCGGCTAAACTAGGGTTAAGGTTTAGGGTTCAGGGTTTAGGGTTTAGGGGTTAGGGGTTAGGGGTTAGGGTTTAGGGTTTAGGGTTTTGACGACCAAATTTTGGTCAAAGGCAAAATAGTCTTCGGAAAGCCCTCCCTAAATCTCTGACCCTCCCTTCAGAGGAGAAGTCTGCCTTCAACAAGACTCCTGGATTTAGGGGCCCCAAAAAAGGCATGAGGGGAAATGCCTGCAAGGATTCGGTCACAAGTGGCGCCAGACCAGCCATTTCCCTAAACCCTAAGACCTAAATCCTAAACCGAATTGGCCGGCGCAGATTTTGGTGACAGAAGCGACTCCACGAAGATTCGGATGTTGGGCGACCTCACAGACTCTGCCATTGGCCCTCAAAGACCTCCTGGGGCACCTAAACCCTAAACCCTAAACCCTTATAAGCCCTATAAACCCTATACGGCGAAAGCGAGTGATGGCGCCGCGACTCCCGCTCCGATTTGAGAATATGACAACCAACTCGGGAGAGAGACAGCAAAAGGCATCTCCTACTTGAGTTATGTTGCCCTTAGCTCTGAAGCGCAAGCCGTGCCCCCCAAAGCCTAACTCCTAGATTACCCTGAACCCTAACCCTAAGCCCTAAACCCTAAACCCCAAACCCTAAACCCCAAACCCTAAACCCCAAACCCTAAACCCTAAACCCGAAACCCGAAACTTTTCAACCCGCCACTCCAAGAAGAGGCAGTGCCTCAGCGACTCTCGCGAAGCACCGGCCGGTAGGTCCTGGACATGGCCTACTCTGAAATATTCGGGGGTTTAGGGTTTAGGGTTTAGGGTTCAGGGTTCAGGGTTCAGGGTTCAGGGTTTAGGGTTTAGGGTTTAGGGTTTAGGGTTTAGGGTTTAGGGTTTAGGGTTTAGGGTTTAGGGCTGAGGGGATCTAGGGCCTAGGGACCCTCGGCGATTCCCAGCCCACCTGACTGAATTCGACACCCTGTACCCGGAGAAGCTTAACTTGAGGTTTTAGAGCTTAAGGTTAGCTAGTTCTCTTTGTACCAAGCCCGCTACACTTTGATTTTTGCAACTTTTTTTTTTTGGGGGGGGGGGGGGGGGGGGGGTGGAGTTGTGAGGGCTGCACATCCCAACCCTCTTCCCGAAACCCGAAGCCGCCAGGAGAGACTTCGGGTCGGGATATGCTTGAAGAGGGAACCCAGGGTGAAGGGCCTAGGGTTTAGGGTTTAGGGTTTAGGGCTTAGGGTTTAGGGTTTAGGGTTTAAGGTTTAGGGCTTAGGGTTTAGGGTTTAGGGTTTAGGGCTTAGGGTTTAGGGTATCTGGATTGTGGTACAGGGTCTAGGGAAACTTCGAAAGCAGGGTATAAGTCGGATTACCCTAAACCCTAAACCCCAAGCCCTAAACCCTAAACCCTAAAACCCTCAAACCCTAAAACCCTAAAACCCTAAAACCCTAAAACCCTAAAACCCTAAAACCCTAAAACCCTAAAACCCTAAAACCCTAAAACCCTAAAACCCTAAAACCCTAAAACCCTACAAGACGATCACTCAAGTCCAGGCCCGAAGAGCACTTAAACCCTCCAGTAGAGTTTAGGGTTAGGGCTTAGGGTTTAGGGTTTAGGGTTGAGGGTTGAGGGTTGAGGGTTGAGGGTTGAGGGTTGAGGGTTGAGGGTTTAGGGTGTAGGGTTTAGGGCTTAGGGCTTAGGGGCCTTTGGCCCTGAACCCTAAATTCTTGCTGAACCCCAAACCCTAACCCCGAACCCTGCAACCGATGCCCCAGCCGTCGCACGCGCCTCCGGAAAATCTACCTCGAACCGTATCAGCAGGTCGCCTGGCTACTTTGCAAAGGAAGGCAGCCCCTCAGGGTTTCGAGTTAAGGTCTTGTTTGGCTGGAGCCACCTAGGGTTTCGGGCAGTTCAGGGTTTAGGGTTTAGGGCTTAGGGTTTAGGGCTTAGGGCTTAGGGTTTAGGGTTCAGGGTTTAGGGCTTAGGGTTTAGGGTTTAGGGCTTAGCACCCCAACCTGGGCCAAGAGGGCTCAACTTCCCTGACGCTCCTGAACACATGCGAGGCACTGATGCAGGCGAAGGGGCTCCACAGCGTGAGCTTTCGGAAGCCCGAAAGGGTTTAGGGTTTAGGGTTTAGGGTTTAGGGTTTAGGGTTTAGGGTTTAGGGTTTAGGGTTTAGGGTTTAGGGTTTAGGGTTTAGGGTTTAGGGTTTAGGGTTTAGGGTTTAGGAAGCTTGAAACCCTAAAGCTTGCAACCCTAAAGCTCAAACCCCTAAACCCCAAAACCTAAACCCCAAACAAGAACCCCAAAACCAATTTAAACGCCCGACTTGCAAAGTCTGAACTGGAAAGAAAGCCAGATGATGACTTGGAGACTTTGGATCAACTCTCCAACGCTTTAGCCAGACAGAGGGTTGAGGGTTATTGTTTGAGGGTTGAGGGTTTGGGCTTTTAGGCTTGAATCTAACAGACATAGGAAGGTCAACACAAGACCCTAAAGCCTATAAAGCTGAACCTTTGGAAACCCTAAACCCTAAACCCTAAACCCTAAACCCTAGCTCAACTTCTGGACGCTCCGGCCGTGATTTCGTGGATTGCCACGCTTGGGCATACCCAGGCCAGGCAGGACCCAAACCTGCAGCAACTTGGGTTTAGGGTTTAGGGTTTAGGGTTTAGGGTTTAGGGTTTAGGGTTTAGGGTTTAGGGTTTAGGGTGTCTCAATGAGTGGGCGCGCTGGTGCTGAAAGCACCCAGGCGCGCGCCCCGACTTGCATGAGCCCACCCCCGCTGGCGCTCCACCCTCGCCTTAACCTTTACGGGTTTAGGGTTCTTTTTGAACTCTGATCGTGCTTTTGTTATTCTTCTCTTGTCCATTGGCTGGGTTAAAAGCTCGGCATCGATGCAGATCAACTACCCTGAAGTTGCAGCCCTTAGGCATTGCAAGGGAGATATCTATCAATCGAGGGCTGCTGGAGGTTTGGGCTTGGGGCTGGCTGCCGCCTTCGCCCTCGGCGATGCTGCGTGCTGGCGGGGGTTTGGAAAACTTGCTTGGAAGGGCGTGAAATCAAAGGTTTGGGCTTTCGCCATTTCTAATGTTGGGCTTAGATGTCCATCATTCGAGGGCTTCTGGGAGGGCCAAAAAGTCAAAGGTTTGAGATTGGGTTGGCTGCCGCCTTCGTCCTTGGTGATGCTGCGTCTTGCTTGACCCCCTCATTTGGGGTGTTTTTGGCTGGAATCAGTGAAGGCTCGGTTTTGATCAAAAATGCAGAAAACGAGAGCCCACCCAGAACCGTCACTTGAGTACTAAAAAATCGCATTTTTAACCGGGCCGATCCTGGGGTCCCCCTCATTTGGGGTGTTTTTGGTGGCAAACTTTCCCCTTCAAGGGGGGTCGGAGTTTTGAGCAAGGGGGGTCTCCCAACACTAAATTGCTTCCAAAATAAGAAAAGGTCGCCGGGGTCCCCCTTAGAAAAGCTCTTGAAGAGGCCAGATAAGGGCCTCCCAGCAAGGCCTCCCATTTTCAAAAAACCCCTTTGACGCAGGGCCCTGTCAGGCAGGGGCCTGCCAGCAGGCAGGGGTCTTAGGCGGGGCCGCCCAAGGCAGGGGCCTCCCAGACAGGGCCGCAGGGGCCTCAGGGGCACCCTCCTCCAAGGCCTCCGTAGGAAGGGGCCACTCCCAGGTAGGGCCTCCAGACAGGGGCCTCCCAGGCAGTGGCCTCCCAGAGGGCCTTCCAGGCAGGGGCTTGCCAGGCAGGGGCCTCCCGGGGCCTCCCAAGCACAGCAGAGGCAGGATGCCCAATACGAGGAAAATTGCTGGGCTGCCTGCCTGGACAGGCTCTGGGTTCCTCTGGTCCACGAAAAACGACCACGGCTGGAGGTGGGGCTCCTCTGGGAGGGGCCCTGAGAGACCTCACAAAAGGAGCTTGCTGCGTTTTACCCCATTCTAGGGCGACCTGACGGGTTTCTCGCCAGCGACCTGCCGGGTCCACCGCGCAGCCCGCAGCTGCCTGCGGGACTGGAGCTCCGTCGCCCGCCGGAGGGCTTCTGGCTCCGGAGCTACCTCGCCTGCCGGCTTCGGTGCGTTCGCCCTGCTCGACGGCCCCGGGCTCACTCAGTTTAGGGTTTAGGGTTTAGGGTTTAGGGTTTAGGGTTTAGGGTTTAGGGTTTAGGGTTAGGTTTAGGGTTTAGGGTTTAGGGTTTAGGGTTATGGTTTAGGGTTTAGGGTTTAGGGTTTAGGGTTTAGGGTTTAGGGTTTAGGGTTTAGGGTTTAGGGTTTAGGGTTTAGGGTTTAGGGTTTAGGGTTTAGGGTTTATGGGTTTAGGGTTTAGGGTTTAGGGTTTAGGGTTTAGGGTTTAGGGTTTAGGGTTTAGGGTTTAGGGTTTAGGGTTTAGGGTTTAGGGTTTAGGTGCTCGAAAAGTTTGGGGCTTCGAGGTTTGTGGTTTGGGGTTCGAGGTTTAGGGCGTTGGGGTTAGGGGTTCAAGGGGTTAAGGCATTTGGGGTCCCGGGGCCTGAACTTCAGATATTGAAACTTCAAGAGGAAGGCCTCGGGTTTAGGGTTTAGGGTTTAGGGTTTAGGGTTTAGGGTTTAGGGTTTAGGGTTTAGGGTTTAGGGTTTAGGGTTTAGGGTTTAGGGTTTAGGGTTTAGGGTTTAGGGTTTAGGGAATGAAAGCAACCAGGTTACAGGCTATTCCGTCTATGGGGCCGAACCTCTCGCTAGAATCTCCCTAAGACTTAGACCCTAAACACCGAACAAGCAAACACCGAACAACCTAAACCGCAGGGTTTGCGGGTTCGGGTTTAGCGTTTATATAGGGCTTATGAGGGGTGGGAGGGAAAGCGAGGGAACAGCATCAAAATTGCGTCAGGGGCCTTGCTCAGGGCTCACCATGTACTAGTACTAGACCCTAGAGTAGCCAAGGAAAAAGGGGGGTCCCTTTTTCGTTAAAGGGGGCTTATACGGGGACCTGAACCCTAAAACAACAGGGAAGAAGCAGAGGGTTTAGGGTTTATAATAGGGTTTAAGGGTTAAGGGTCTCCGTCGTTTCAGCTCCTCCTTGCCAGAGCCAGACAAGCACTTCAGCTCAGGAAAGCCCTTCTTCTCCTTCTCCTTCTTCTTCTCCTTCTCGTCTTGCCACCACCACCGGGGCTCCCCAAACCCCAAACCCCAAACCCGAAACCCGAAACCCCAAACTCGGCCCCAAGCCCCAAACCAGAAACCCCAAACCCTGTGGCTTTTGGGGCTCACATTCCCTCCAACGCCCTCCAGCCCGCGCATCTTCACCCAGAAAGGCTACAGCCAATCACCCTATACACACGCCAAGGGACCCCGCCACCCCACGTGGGTTTAGGCTCTAGGGTTTCGGGGTTAGGGTTTAGGGTTTCGGGTTTGGGGTTCAGGGGTTTAGGGTTTAGGGCTTAGTCATCCTCAACTCTAAACCCTAAAGCCTTTGCCGCGCCTCCCCTGGTCGGACCATCTTTCCCTGTGGGCCACTGATGTCCAGGTTCTTGCCATTGAGGTGCCTGAACTGCTGTTCCTACGGTTGCCAGGGAGCCTTAATCCTACATCCTTTTCTTCCTTTATATGCATAAATATAAATATAAATATAAATGTAAACATAAAGATACATATAAATATACATATAAATATAAATATAAATATAAATATAAATGTAAATGTAAATGTAAATATAAGTATGAAAATATATATATGTATATATATATATATATGTGTGTGTGTGTATATATGTATATATTTATATTGATAGTTATATCTATATTTATATTCATATTCCTATTTATATTTGATATTTTTATGTATAATATATATTTATATATATATATATATATATATATATATTATGAAATATATATATATATACATTTTACAAATGTAAAAATATCCCTTAGATGTTTAGTCCTTAGTACATCTAGGTAGCACCAAAAGAGGCCCCAAGTCAATCCCCAAATTCTTACAGCAGAAGTCCCCGAAGCACGGCTTCAGCAGAACCCCAACCCGAGCTTAGGGTTTAGGGTTTAGGGTTTAGGGTTTAGGGTTTAGGGTTTAGGGTTTAGGGTTTAGGGTTTAGGGTTTAGGGTTTAGGGCTCAGGGTGTCGGGTTCAGGGTTCAGGGTTTAGGGTTTAGGGTTTAGGGTTAGGGTTTAGGGTTTAGGGTTTAGGGTTTAGGGTTTAGGGTTTAGGGTTTAGGGTTTAGGGTTTAGGGTTTAGGGTTTAGGGTTTAGGGTTTAGGTTTAAGGGTTTAGGGTTTAGGGTTTAGGGTTTAGGGTTTAGGGTTTAGGGTTTAGGGTTTAGGGTTTAGGGTTTAGGGTTTAGGGTTTAGGGTTTAGGGTTTAGGGTTTAGGGTTTAGGGTTTAGGGTTTAGGGTTTGGGGTTTGGGGTTTAGGGTTTTGGGTTTTGGGTTTTGGGTTTAGGGTTTAGGGTTTAGGGTTTAATTAGGGTTTAGGGTTTAGGGTTTAGGCCAAGCTCATTTTTGCACCTTGAAAAGATGCCACCCGCCTCTAGCGGTGGTCTTGCACGTATGTGGCGGCCTGATCCTGATGCTCTTCTACGTCCGCGCGCCTTCTGCAGGGAAACTTGCAACCCAATTGTCGGCTGAGCCTCCTAACCCTAAACCCTAAACCCTACACCCTAAACCCTAAACCCTAAACCCTACACCCTACACCCTGTCCGGGTAAGTATGCCGAGAAGGCGGAGAAGTGTTGTGATAAGGGGAGGTCGAGGGCATCGTGTTAGAGCGACTGGCCACTGCCCGTTTGTTGAAGATCCTTCGGTTCCTCACGATTCCTAGAATCTGCGCCCTAAACCTTAAACCCTAAGCCCTTAACCCTTAACCCTAATTAGAATGCCGCGTGAACTCAGACCGCAGCCAACCCCTAAACCTCAACTCCAAAACCTCAAAGCCCCACAGCCTAACTCGCTTGGCCCTCTTCCAGTACGAGCTCTCGGTGGTTTGTTCCAACCGAGAGAATGCAAGACGAAGTAGCTTGGGGGCTCTTACGGTAAACCCAACGAAGACTTCACCCCTAAACCCCAGCACATAAACACTGAACCCTAAACCCCAACCCCTAAACCCCAAAACCCTAACCCTAACCCCTAAACCCTAAAACCCTAAACCCTAGGCCATGAGACGGGGGTGGTAGTACAGAGTATTCCGCCACATCCACTGAAAATGAGCGCTTCGCGGCTCTGAGGGGTGAGAATGTATTTTCAGCAGCGGTCTCCCAGCCCACTAAGGGTTTAGGGTTTAGGGTTTAGGGTTTAGGGTTTAGGGTTTAGGGTTTAGGGTTTAGGGTTCAGGGTTTCGGGTTCAGGGTTCAGGGTTCAGGGTTTAGGGTTTAGGGTTTAGGGTTTAGGGTTTAGGCTTATGTTCCCGGCGCAGAAACAAAACCGTAAAAGGAAAAGACACCCACAGCCCTAGCGAGTATGGAGGACGGGAGCCCCCCCAAGCGCCCATCTAAGGTTTAGGGCTTGAAGGGGTTTCTGCCTGCATGGCGGCATGGAATCATATCATAGCTATGCAAGACCGTTGCCAACGCGACGCAGCACGCAAAGCTCGAGTGCACAAAACGGCACTTGGGCCGACTATTGTCCGTCCTGGCACTCACTAGAAAACCAGGGCAGTTGCCCAGGTGCTTGGTCAGCTCTCTTGGGAGGGGAGCCATCAAAATGAAAGACCTGGTAGGTCACTGGTTGAACCACCAGCATCTGCCACACTACCTGCTGTCGCTTCAGTGCTCAGTGTCGGTGGGTTCTTGTTCAGAATGCATGGGGAAGGCGAAGGGGGGCGGGCTTGATTCTCAGTTTGGAGGCCCTGAACTACAAAGAAGACGCCCCGTATCCCCAAAGGACCATCGGATGCCCCTCCAATCCTAGATGAAGTCAGTGTTCCGGGCTGGGGGATCAAACGTCAGACTGTGAGGTTTAGGGTTTCGGGTTTAGGGTCTTGCCATATGAAAACAGCATGTTCTACGGGCTTTGAGACCACAGTGTTCCCAGTTGCGGCTCTGGGGACGGGTGAAGATGGCAGAAGGAGGAGGTTCAGGGTGTAGGGTGAGGGGTCAGGCGCAGCAATCCTGTCCGCATAATCCCACACCGCACCCTAAACCCTGAACTCTAAACCCTAAACCCTAAACACTAAACCCTAAACCATAAACCCTAAACCCCAAACCCTCAACCCTACACCGCCCACGCCAAAAACCCAAAAGACATAGACCACAGTCTAGCTGCGCTTCTCAACATCTCAGGACACTTCTGAGACGAGTCGAATATCGGGGGGGGGGGAATTTAGGGTTTAGGGTTTAGGGTTCAGGGTTCAGGATTTAGGGTTTTAGTTTTTGGGTTTTGGGTTTTGGGCTTTGGGTTTTGGGTTTGGGGTTTGGGGTTGGGGGTTTCGGGTTTGGAAGGATTGACGTTTGGCTTACCGGGAGTGAGAAATTCCTGCAGCCTGCGCCAGGGACGTTGCAGGAGCAGTGTGACAGGCAAAGGAGGTTCCTAAGCTGGCTGGCGCCTCAGGGCCCTAAACCCCTGGTTGAACCAAGAGGTTCATGGTTAGGATAGTATATAAAAATGTAAACTTCGACTCCTTGTTGAGTTGAAGTACCCTTGAAAGAAAGGTTTAAAATGTTCCCTCACTATGACAAAGGCAAGGTGTCCTAACTCCGAAAGACTCCAGCTTTAGGGCTTAGGGGTCCTAAAAGCAAGCCCTGTATAAGCACCCCAATCTAAGAATAATTCAACATACCCCAAACCTATACTGCACCCCTTAAGCCTTAACCTTTGAGGAAGGCATGGTCTCAGGCTCCCGGGCCCTGTCCCCCCCCCCCCCCCCCCCCTCCGCCCCCGGCGCCCCCCAGTATCCCCCCCATGGAACCCTCCCACCCATTGTATCAAGCCTCTCCCCCGGACCTTAAACCAACCTTAACCCTCACTCACACCCTTAACCTAAACCGCAAGCCTTCAACACCAAACGCCAACCCCCAGTCACAGCACAGGCAGGGGGGGCTAAACCTCAAACCCTAAACTTAGGTAAACCCTAAACCTTAAACCTTAAACCTTAAACCCTAAACCCGAAACCCTAAACCCTAACCCCCAACCACACCCACACCACGCACAGGGGGGGGGGGGGCAGGGGGGGCAGGGTAGCACGAGCGGCCGGCCTCTTAAACCTAACCCCAAACCCCCAATCACACCACGGGCCTCTAAACCTTAACCCTGAGCCCTAAACCTTAAACCCTAAAGCCTAACCCCCCAGCCAACCCTGGCCGGGAGTGTGCGGCGCTTGAGGTTTAGGGTTTAAGGGTTTAGGGGGTACGCAGCTGCACGAGTGCTCTAGACTACATCTTCCCAGACGTGAATCGCAAACTGCGGACAACCAAGCTACACCCTAAACCCCAACAGGTAAAAAAAAAACTAAACCCTACTCCCTAAACACAAAAAAAACTCAACCCCAAACCCCAAAAAACCTAAGCCCTAAACCCTAACCAGCAAAAAGAACACTAAACTCTAAACCCTAAACTCAGGGCCTTCACAGCATCTACGCCCTATCACAGCAAACCCTAAACCCAAAACCCTAAACCCATCGGTAACCAGGGCTGGGAAGCCGCGAGCGCCTTTCTTCGGAGTCGTGGCACAAACAGACCCCCTGGGAGGATCCTAAGAGTAGAGCCCCCCGAAAGTAGTGCCCTGTACTACTATTCGGTCATTCTTAGGGTTTAGGGTTTAGGGCTTAGGGCTCAGGGCTCAGGGCTTAGGGCTTAGGGTTTAGGGTTTAGGGTTTAGGGTTTAGGGTTCAGGGTTCAGGGTTCAGGGTTCAGGGTTCAGGGTTCAGGGTTCAGGGTTCAGGGTTTACTTTTTGGATCCTCCCCCAGGGGGTCTGGCAGGCTTTGCAGGAGGAAGCCCCCCACCCCGACCTGGGTTTGTTGTTTCTAGGGTTTGAGGGGTTTAGGGTTTGGGCCTCACAGCAAGGGTTAAGGTCTTGGGGCCTTAGGGTTTTGGGGATAGGGTCTTAGGGTTGTAGGGTTTCGGGGTTTTAGGGCTGTAGGGTTTCCAGGGTTGAAGGCTTTAGTGGTTGTTTCTCCAGCAACCCCAAATCGAAAAGGGACCCACCTTGTTCATCAGAGAACCTCAGCCTTGCAAATCGGCACAAATGCCATTTCGGGTTTAGGGTGTAGGGTTAGGGAGGCTCGGGTTTAGCTTTTGGGGTTTAGGGTTTAGGGTTGAGCGTTCAGGGGTTTAGATTTTAGGGTTTAGGCCTCTTCGGATTAGGAGTTGGTTGAGGGTTTACAGGGTTTAAAGGGTATACGTGTTTTCAGGTTTTACACGTCTAGAGCCTAATCTGACGGTCCTGCAAAGATTGCGATCTTTGAATTAAATCGTGATCTGGTGAAACCGAGACGCTTTCAGGCCCAGAGATAAACTACACGTAATAAACTCCCGAAACCCTGAACCCCGAACCCTACACTCTAAACCCTCAAGCCTACGCCCTAAATCCTACGCGCTAAACT